CCTTTTCGAAAGCTATGTATTATGGAATGATACTCTTTATATAAAATATGCACCTTCATATAATAGAGTTAAGACATGCTTGATTCGACAATCAAAAGCCATCGTTATAACCGCCAAACAACCACCAAACAAAGATTTCTATCTCAATAATCAGACGATAATCCCATACCTACAAACCAATCAGAATTATTCTCCCCTTTCCCTTTCTCAGACGGTCATGAATTCTTCGGTACTTTGACTTCAATCCAGAGTATGCACATTATCCATCCTTGGGAAATACCGGCTGGATCGTTGTTTATAGGAGTATTGAGACCACTACACTATTCTCAATATCAATCATAAAAATACTCACACATGAACATCCGAATCCTATTCATCCATCGTTATATCATTCAGTAGTCCCAACAAAAGTTCCAACAGAACTGTGAATCATGGAGCACATTTACAAAGGGGGAAAAGCCCCACTCCTAACCGAAATATTCACTCTCAACGTCCAAATCATTCACTTGGTATAAGTAAACCCCCAAAACTGATACTATAAAGAACCAATGGTTCTTATGTATTTGAATATCATTATTTTCACAACCTAGTTCATGATTTGGTTTAGATCTTCATGGTGAATATTTGGGCTAAAGTTAAGAGTATCCCCTTTTCCATTTTCCTTCCCTGTTTCACACTTTCGACTTTAATATTTGTTGAGATATTCAACAAAGTTATTTTGGAATCTTTTTAAGATCTCAAAAATTGAGAGAGGTTATAAGAGATGAATACTTGAACTGAATACTGGATACTGCAATATCATAGCAAAGAAACACTCACTACACTTCTGCATTTCTGCTTTGGATCTTGCAAGATTGCCTAACACATTGGTGTAGTTCCAAGATTTACTGTATCATGATGCCAAGGTGTAGGAGATAGGAATGCATGGGTTATCTGTATGTTACCTTTTGATAAGATTCATGGGATGGTTAAAGATATTATGAAGGGTGAGAATGGTTTGTATGATGATGAGGGATGTACTTCATCCCAACTTGAATATGTGTTACGTTCCTTGACAATTTTACCACACGCACTGGCAATGCAATTAAGATTTGTCTTTGAATCCCCTCCCCCTGAAGACTCAACTTGAGAACTCGGAAGTGTCAGTACAGTACACAAGATGATTTTAACAACTAGTCCACGGCAACAAAGATAGAAAATGGACAGCTTAAAAAAACCAACCCAATGCACTGCATGCTTTACGACTGAGCTGCATCTACAGTAGAATCCCATGCTAGATCCGCGCTCTCTCTCTATACTAACTTGCCATTTGTTATTCAAAGAAAGTCACCCAGCAAGCAACCTGTGAAATCCGGTCCTTGAAATTTGTGCTAAGATTTAGATACTGGACTCTGGTGTATTTATATCAATCGAAGGCAGCAAGATATTGTTACTCTCCACTTGAATTAGCCAACTCAATTACCTTTGCCGCCGCCTCGTCGAAATCATCATATGAGTATAGTGGTAATCCACTTTCCGCAATCTACCGTATCAAGAAAAGTCAGTAAACACGACATAAATATCCCAACACCACCTCTCACACTCCTTCAAAACCAAGTCAATGGCCCCATTAACGAGTAGAAAAGAAAAAAGAAAAAGACCTACAATCCTCTGTCCCTCCTTCTCATTCGTCCCTCGAATCCGAACCACCACTGGAACCGTCACCCCCAACTCCTTATAAGCCAACAAAACCCCCTCAGCAATCATATCCCCCAACGTCAACCCCCCGAAAATATTTACAAAAATCACCTTGACCCTCTCATCCCCCAAGATCGCCTCAAACCCCCTCTTCACCGTCTCTGCCGTCGCCTTTCCTCCCGTATCCAGAAAATTTGCCGCTGTACCTCCGGCTTCCGCCAGCGCATCTACGGTATTCATGGCTAATCCCGCGCCATTGACTAGCGTCCCAATATTGCCATTGCCGGCAAACTTGATATATACTATACCGTGTTTCGCGGCTTCGACTTCGGCTGCGTCTTGAATATCTGCACGAGGGAGAGAATGGATGTCGGATTGACGGTGTGCGCTTTTGAAGGCGGCGTCGTCGAAACCGAAATTGGCGTTTGATATGACTGGTTGGGATTTGACATCGTGACTGTTGTTTGTGATTATGGTGGTTTCGAGAATGAAGGCTTCTTTCTCTTTGAAAAGCTCAAATAGACTGGAGATGACTTGTTTGCAACTTTTGGCTTGATGCCACATCATGAGATTCTGAACACATTTCTTGAGTGTATAAAAGCGGGGACCTGAATTGTATGGGAAGGGAAACTTTTTGGCTTTAGCAGGGGACCGCGATTTTCCAACCGGACTCTGTATTATAACACACGGACAGCGATTACTTCGATCAATGCCAATAGTAAGTGTTTTGTGAAATGATTCTTCTTTTGAAATAGTTTCAATATGGCGAATTTTCCTTTCGTCGAGCAGTTTAAGTGCGTCTTCCTCTTTGATGTACACGGTTCTTTTTTGTGTTATATCTACAGTTGAAGCTCTTGATGTTGGTCGTACCCTTAGCGTGTGTATACCTCGTTTCTGGGAAGCACTATTTGTGGCCAGGCCACTGCCTAATCGTCCAGAGTTTCGTAACAAACCCTTCATAGCATCGCCAAATTTGGCTGGATGGTTGACCATGGTAACTCCTACAATCTCGAAAGTCTTGATTTTTATCAATGCATCAGGTTCTCCTAACAAAGTGAAAGCTCCAGCATGACCCATAACCTTACCAGGAGCTGCACAAATACCAGCAACTAGTGCTACGATAGGTCTACGCAGAGTCAGTAAGATTCAAAGAGATATACAAGAGACGTACTTGGGATTTATCCAACGCTTCTTATACTCCTCAATCCAAGCTGCAGCCTCGAGTTCCGCTTCGCCACCTATTTCACCAATAATAATGATACCTTCAGTTTCATCATCATATTCAAAAACCTTCAATGCATCAACGAAATTAGTCCCAGCCAAGATATCCCCACCCATTCCAATACAAAGACTTTGACCAAGTCCAGCCCTAGTTGTTGATGCGACGGCTTATTTTCGTTAGTGATTATGATAAACATCTGCCTGAGAACTTAAGAACTTACCTTCATAACTCAAAGTTCCTGATTTAGCAACGATACCTATACAACCTGGCGTGAAGCAAGAAAGTGGTTGAAAGCCAATTCGACATTTTCCATTTGCTGATATAATGCCAGGAGAATTTGCACCAACTAATCGACATTTGGATTGAGTGTCTAGTATCGAATGGATCTTCAGTATGTTAGTACTGTCTCATTGAACACTCTCGAGGTCATACTCTTAGCATATCGTGAATGGGAATGTGCTCAGCGACAGCAACGATCAGAGGAACTTCTGCTTCAATTGCTTCCTCAATCGCACTTGCTGCTTGATGAGCTGCTACATATATTCCCGTTGCATCTGGTTTGAGTTTTTCCATTGCCTGTTTGTTTGTATTAGTGTAAGTCACATTCGCAATGATGATGTACTTGCCTCCTTTACAGTAGGTAGCACCGGTAGACCCAAATGCTTTCCGGTTTTCCCAGGTGTCACACCGCCGACTATATTAGTTCCCCATTGTATTGATTCTTTTGCATTTGCAGTGGCCTTGTTAAGAGGCTGAGATCAGTATAGTTATAATCCACAATGGTTCTCCATGTTGGGATCTTACCTGTCTACCTATATCAAATCAGTCATAATCAATATTCAGCAAACAGTCAATCGAATTCTCATACCTGTAAAACCCTGAAATATGACTCTAGTGTGACTTCCAATCTTCAAATTCTCAATTGTTTTTCCATATCTATCTTCAGGTGTCGAATTCGAATGTGAAATATACCCCAAAGCCCTCGTGCTGGTACCTCCAAATTTACCCCGGAGAGAGCTTTGGAACGAATCATATCTTATGTTTCGCCTTTTGGAAAAAATTTCATGTATCATAACTTAAATCAAACCCCAACCCAATTGAAGAATACGCTCTGTCGTGCAAAGATCAACACAGCACACGAATTTTTTATCTCAACCTCGGGACCTTCCTTCCATCGGGAATAAGATACCCGAAATTTTCTCTCGGGTCAACTCACAGCTCAAAAGTGTGGGGAAAGTACACCCGATTCCAAAACGTCTTTTGAAAAAAAATATAAGTTTTGATCTCATTATATTATCTCAATTTCAACTTTTGAAATTTAATTCGGAATTACTATATAAATACTATAAATCCAAGATTGAAAATTTTCAATACTAGAAATCTAAGATATATAAAAATATTAGAGTTCTCTAGATTTCTTTTTTATAATCAATAAATAGAAGCTGGTTTATATTTTAGTAATAATAATAATAATAATAATAATAATAATAATAAAAAGACTTTTTATAGAATTTTTATAAATCTCTAATAACTAATTACTATTATAGTACTAGATTATCGTCTAAGCGTTATATTAAACTATTAGAGATTCAAAGTTATTAGTATAAATTAACTCTATATCTTATTCGATCGTAATATATAATGATTTAAATTCTCTATATATTATTTAATAATTTTATTATATTTAAAAAAAAAAGGAATAATAGCTTATAGAAAAAAAAATCGTTTTCTCTTACTAGATTAATCTCTAGAGAATCTATTATTATATTAACTCTTATATATATTATTTAAATATACTTATATATAATATTATAATTACTCGATATCTATCTCGTTTATTCAAATTCTATATCTTTATACCGTAATCTATTCATACTATACAAATAATAAAGAGTAAGTAAAGCTAAAACCCACTATACTCGAGTAGTTTAATTATTCATAATGCGGAAAATTCCTTTTGGGTTAGGTTCAAGTCTATCTAGCTAGCTCGCTAGTGCTACGGTAGAAATTCCGCACTAAGATTAACCTTACCCTTACCACTACCAGTACTGCACGCACTGTACTACCGGTACTCTATTGCACACTACTCGGAGTACTTGAATAGAACATAAAACATAGACTCTCATAATCTCACATTTATATATATATATTACAATATTCATTTCTACAAACCTACCAACATACTCATATTACATTACATTTTCTATTTCCCAATCTCTAATATTGGCGGGGTACAATTGGGATTACAGCACAATACATCTTTCATCTCCTCTACTCTACATTGGACAACATCGATAAGATAATATACAAACGAATTATAACATATATAATAGATACAGCTGGTGTATATCAGATCAGATCAGATATTAATTTCAACCGCAACAGCAGGTATCATCTGTATATATAAATCGCAGATATGACAATTGAACCTACCGGTATATTTATATTTATATCTATATTCCTTCCCTTCTCACCCCTCATCCGTTAAACCCCCAATTAAAAACAACTAAGCTAACCCTCTCTTACAGACCTAGCCAGCACCCTCCACACCCTCACCATCAATCCTTCCTCTTCCTCTCCCTCTTCCTCAACCAAAAATCCCAAACCCCAAACATCCAAAACCACCAAAACTCCCACACCACTCCTCGATTCCTGGGAAGACGACGTCACTTCTGATTCCGAAACTGAGATCGAAGCCGAGACCGAATCTTCAGTTCCCCCTTCAAATACAAATCCAATCAAAACCTCAACCTTGAACCCCCTCTCCCCAAGCTCATCATACCCCTCCGCACCCCCACCTACACCCATCTCCCCTCCTCCCACATCCTCATCCTCATCCTCCTCACCCCACGAATCCCCCTTCCAAAACCCCCCCTACCACTCCACCACCCCATCCACCACCCCCTCCTCCCTCCACCCCCACACCCGGCCCCCTAAAACCGACCATCTAGCCCGCCGCCTCATAGCCAGCGCGCTAGGTGTCCGAGCGCCTGCCAAAACAGCTGAACAGCTCGAATACGAACGGGTGCAACGGGAGAAAGTTTTATTGAAGAGGAAGAATGGTAAAGAGGAGGGGGAGCGGAGGAAGAGG